TGCGTGCCGTCCTCGAGGTCGAGCGTGAGGGCGCTCACCGGGGCGTTGGGGGCGAGGTTCACCAGGTAGTTGCGCCTGTTGAAGACGGCCTCGATGCCCGTGTAGAAGCCGTCCGCCGCCGCGCCGCGCGGGATCAGCTCCCCGGTGGAGGGCTCCACAAAGACGGCCTCCCGCTGGCTCTTGCGGCCCCCGGGCAGGACGAGCAGCCAGCTGTGCAGCCGCCGCCGCGGCTGCGCCTGCCCCTCCTTCGCCTTCTCCCCGTCGCCGGCCGCGGCCTGCGGCTGCGGCTGCGGCTGCGGCTGCGGCTGCGGCTGCGGCTGCTGCTGTTGCGGCTGCTGCTGTTGCGGCTGCGGCTGCGGCTGCGGCTGCTGCTGTTGCGGCTGCGGCTGTTGCTGCGGCTGCGAGGCGGCCGGCTCGGGGTCGTGCACCCCGCGCAGCGGCGGCCGATCCTTCACGAGTTGGGCGTACTCCGCGTCGAGCTCCGGCTCCACCTCCCGCTCGTCGTCGGAGGCGGCCTCGTCAAAGAGCCCCGCGCTGTCGCTCCAGGTGCGCCGCGTGTTGTCGTTCTCGCAGACGAAGCGCCGCGCGTAGCCGACGACGACGTGCACGTTGTACCCCGCCCCCGCGAGCACGGAGGCGAGGAGGAGGCTGAGCTCGAAGCAGTTGCCCACCTGCCACTGCAGCGCCGTCGCCGGCGACACGACGACCTCCGGCAGCCGCTCCGGGTCCTCGAGCGGCTCGTAGCGCATGTACCCCGCGAAGTACCCCGCGCACGCCGCGAGGTCGAACATCTCCTCGAAGGGGAAGACGGTCGGCTTGATGAAGCTGCAGATCAGCTTGCGGGCGCGGCACTCGTTGAGCGGGGTGAGCAGCAGCGGGGCGCGGTTCGGGTAGTACTCGTGGAACTGCGCCCGAAACAACTCCGTCGCCGCGAGCAGCGCCTCCTCCCCCGCGGAGGTGGCGGCGTCGGTGTACGACGGCGGGAAGCTCTCGGCGCGCAGCCAGCGCTCAAAGCGCTCCGCCCGCGTCGCGTCGTACGCCGCCGTACTCCCGCCAGACATCTCCCTCGCCGGGCCCGCGTTTTCTTTTCGTTTTCTTCCCTCTTTTGTTGTCGCTGTGGTTGTTGTTGTTGTTTTTTTCTTTTTTTGGCCCGCCGCCCACGCCTCTCGCCCCGGGCAGAGAAGTAAAAAAAGAGAGCGGCACGCACGCACCTCCCCGCCGGCGCGAGGGGGTCGACGCAGGCGATAACAACAAAGAAAAAAAAGAAAAAAAAGGGGGCAGAGAGAAAAAAGTCAGGCTGCGGGAGGTGCGGCGTCTGCCCCGCCACACACACACACACACACAGAGAGAGTGAGAGGAAGAGAGCGACAGCTGCGAGAAGAAAGCACGGCAAAGAAAAAGAAGAAAAACAAAACAAAAAAAAGACGGCGTTGGCGGACGACAGGAGTAGAACAGCGAAGAAAAGCCGAATGAAAATAAGAAGGGGACGAAAAAGAAGGAAAAAAAAAAGGGGGGGGGGTATTTGGTTTCACGACGGCCACGCGCGGCTCTCACCCCTCGCCCTTCCCCGGCCCCCGTCAACGCAGCGACTCCGGCCGGGCGACGAGGACCGTCTCGTACGCGCGGCGGCAGTACAAGTCCCAGTAGACGATGCCCCACGCCACGCTGGCGACGCAGACGAGGGCGCAGTAGAGCGGCGTGATGGTGAGCAGGTTGACGAGGTGCGGCATCGCCAGCATGCCTTTGAGGGTGCGCGGCTTGAAGGCCTCGTAGTCCATGCAGGCGGCCTCGTTGCGGGCGCCCACCTCGGCCCCCTTCGCGCTCGCCTCGTACATGTGCGTGGAGCGCCCGTGCGGCTGCATCGGCTGCATCGTAAATTCATTCGGGTCCTTCGGGTCCGGCGCGGCGGCGGGGGCGGCGGCTGTCTGACTCCGCAGCGCCCCGCACAACGCAAAGGCGCCACCGCGCCCCACCAGTCGAATCACACTGCGCTGCATACTTCCCACGCACACACAAACACACACACCGGGTGTCTTCGCGCCTCTCTACGGTTGCTGAAGCAAAAAAAATAATAATAATAACAATAATAAATAAACAAATACAACGGAATTCCACACTACTTTCTGCTCCTTCTTTTTGTTGTTGTTGTTGTTGTTTCTTTTCCTTTTCCTTTTCCTCCCTTGGCCTATCCTAGAGCTGTCTGCAGCCTTGCCTCCAGAGAGCGCGGGGAGGGGGGAGGGGCAGGTGAAGCAGCAACCGCTATTGAATATAAATATATACCACTCGCCTGTACGCACAGTGTGACGGAGTGCTGCTTTGGGCCTGCTTGCCTGCTGGCTTTGTCTTGGCTACTACGATTTTACTACGCTACTGCTCGCTCTGCCGGGGCGCGGTCCAGACCGCATCCCACCCAGCACGGCGTTCGAGGAGGGAGAGCAAAGGAAGAACGTGGAGGCAGATGCCAGCGCACGCGGGCCGCGGCACGGGAAAAGGCGCGGGGGAGAGCGAACGTGACCGCCGCAGCCAGGCAGAGACAGAGAGAGACAAAGAGAGAGACACACGTACACACACACACACACAGGAGGCCGCGACGCCACCTACACCCGCCGGGGGAGCCGCAAACCAGCAGCCGTTGGTGCGGGGGCAACGACGGCGGAAGGGGCTTCAATGCACCCCGCCGACGTGCTGCGCCCCTCGCCAAACAACAACAACAACAACAACAGGGAAAAAAACAAAAACAAAAAAAACGTAAAGAAAAAAAAAGGAAAAGAGGGGCATAACCTACTTACCCGCGGCGGACGACGCGGGGAGCGTGCCGCGGCTGCTACCGGCGCCCCCCGCACCGCCCGTGACGGCGCTGAGGGCGTTGAAGATGGAGAGCGCCTGCGCCGAGAACTCCGCGGGGTCCCCAACGTTCTTCCCGAGCACCACCGTGTTGCTCGCCTTGGCGAGTTCGCCGAACTTCTCAATGTACTTCTCCGCCACCCGCAGGGCGACGGCGTCGCCGCTGCGCGGGGCCTGCTCCAGCGAGCCCGCGACCACCGTGACGCTCTTCGAGACCGCCTCGGCCATGACGCCCGTCGCCGCCGCCTCCGCCTCGGCGCGCTGCACGACTGTGTACCTCTGTGCCTCGGCGGCGCAGCGCTGGGCGCGCTTGAGCCCCTCCGCGCGGTTCACCTCCGCCTGTGCCTCGCCCTCCGACTGCAGGATGAGCTGCCGCTTGCGGCGCTCGGCGTCGGCCTGCAGGTCCATGGAGCGCCGCACGAGCTCGCTGACGGTGATGTCGCGGATCTCGTACCGCTTGCACTCGATGCCCCAGTCGTTCGCCTCGCGGCGCAGCACCTCGACGATGTTTTTGTTGAGTAGCGTGCGCTCGCGGAAGAGGGTGTCGAGGTCGAGGCGGCCGATCTCGCTCCGCATCGTCGTCTGGGCGAGGTTCAGCAGGTTGTAGACGGGGTTCTCGATGTTGTAGCTCGCCTTCTCCGCGTCGACAATGCGCAGGAAGAGGACGCCGTCGATCTCCACCATGACGTTGTCGGAGGTGATCGCCGACTGGTTCGGGATCTCCACCCCCTGCTCCTTAACGCTGTAGCAGTAGCGGATCCTGTCCAGCAGCGGCACCACCAGCCACCAGCCGGGGTCGAGCGTGCGGTGGTAGCGCCCCAGCCGCTCCACGACGTACTGCCGGCCCTGCGGGACGATGTTGAGCACCGTGTTGCGCGGCACCGGCTCCACGAAGGAGGCGGGGTTGAGGTGGATGCGGGAGCTGCGCTGCATCTGCAGCTGCGCGCTGGGGCCGCCGCCGCCGTTGCCGCCCCCACCGACGCCAGCGGCGCCGCTGGCGTCGGTGGGGACGGCAGCGGGGTCGTAGGCCGGCGGGGCGTACGGGTACGACAGCGGGGCGCTGTACTGCAGCCGGCGCAGGGCGCGGCGCAACATGTGTGCGTGTTTGTGTGTGTGAGTGGAAGGGGGAGGGGGGCGCGAGGTGTAAACTGCCCGGTCAGAACTAAAAACAAGCTGCGCCGTGCCGAGTGTGTCCCCGCCCCGCCCGCAGAGGATCACACAGATCAAAAACAAAACAAAAAAGAGGAAGAACAAACAAAAGACAAGAAAAAAAAAAGCAGGCGAAAAACGACGTGCAAAGTAAATAAGTGAAAAAGAAAACAAAAACGAAAAAGAAAACAGAAAGAAAGGGGAAGTAAAATGTCTTTCGGTTTCTGCCGTCAGCCCACATGCACGCAGCGCCTAGTGGGTCGGGGCAGTGCCGGCGGGAGCCGCCGCCTCCGCCTCAGGCGCGATGCGTCCCTTTGCGCCGCCGTCGACGTCGTCCAGCGGCTTCTCCTGGTGCTGGTAGGAGCGCGCGAGGGCAAGCAACTCACGCAGTCGCGCGACGGCAACCCCGCGCTCGCGCTCGCTGAGGACGCGTTCGTAGCGCGACGGGTGCACGCCGGCCGCCTCGCCCCCTTCCGCCTTCGTCTGCCCCACGGCCTCGGCGACGGCGCCGCTGGCGATGTCACGCTCGCGTGCCTCGTGCAGCATGACGAGGTGGTGCAGCATCATGGAGCGGCCGATGGCGTCCAGCATGTAGTTCGGCGTCAGCCCCAGCTGCTCGGCGCGGTCGCGGGCGCGCTCCTCGGCGGTGGCGGGCGCCGGCACCGGCGGCATGCAGAGCAGCTGCATGAACTGCTCCCAGAAGGCGTCACTGACGTGAAAGCGGTAGTAGCGCATGGCGAGCGGGAGGCACATGCTCCGCATCGGGTCCTCCGTGAGGTCGCCGTACATCTGCGCCCCCTGCGCGCGGGAGACCGTCGCGGTGACCTCCTTCGCGAAGACGACGTGCGTCGCGCACGCCACGAAGTACGCCGACTCCCCACACGCCTCAAACACGCGCCGCAGCAGCAACGGGCGTTCGTGGGCAAAGGCCTGCGCCGCCGGGAAGGCCTCGTACTGCTGCAGCAGCGAGCGGTAGTAGACAATCTCCATGTCGTTCAGCGCGGCCCAGGCGGCGGCGGCGGTGTACAGGCGCTCGCGACTCTCCTCCGGCACCAGCGCCGCGAGGTTGAGCAGCGAGTTCACCGCCCGCTCGTCGGCCCGCACGTTCACCAGCAGCGCGGCGCGCCAGAGGTAGAGGGCGGCGACCTCCCCGCGCAGAGACTCGCTCTCGGCGAGCGGGTTCGCGCCCTCCGCGGCGCTCGTTGCGCCGTACTTGGCGGCGGCGGGGTTGAAGTCGTCGACGCCGAGCTGCTGCGCCTGCTGCTGCGCCTGCGTCGGCTGCAGTGCCGCCAGCAGCACCCGCCCGCCCGCCGCCGCCCGGATCTCCGCGCTGGCGAGCTGTTGGATGCCCGCGATGGCCGCCTCCAGTTGCTCCTCCCGGGCGAGCCGCACGAGCGCGCGTATCTGCGGCGTGGGGGCGTCGTCCACCTCGTACGCGAGGCGCTCGGCGAGCACCTCCGCCCCCTTCGTCACCGGTCGCATCGCAAAGCAGCAGGGGAAGCGGCAGCGGTAGTCGTTCTCAACGCAGCGGCCCGCCCCGCCGCAGCGGTACTGCAGGTCGAAGACGGTGCCCCGCACCTCCGCCTCCCGGCGCAGCGCCGCGGCGGAGCCTGCGGCCGGCGGGGCCTCCGCCGCCCCAAAGCGGCGCTCCTGCACGACTTGGCGCAGCCGGACGACGCCGGGGGCCGCGGGCCGCGCCCGCACAAAGTCCGAGCAGTCCACCTCCGACCGCGGCAGCCGCTGCGTCTTCCACGCGTTCACGACACGCGAGAAGAATGACTTCATCGCACACACAATGACGCACACGCACACGCCCTCCCTCTCCGGCGCAGCAGTTCTCACCGACTGCGCTGTGGCGTGCGGCGTCCAGCGGCCGTGTTTCCCTTGGCGAGGATTCTGCTGCTTTTGCTGTTATTTTGCTTTTTCCTTTTGTTCCTTTGTTTTGTCGTTGCCTTTTAGTTTCGCTTTTGTGCGAGTCGGGTTTTTTTTATGGGGGGAGGTGGAGAAAAAACGGCCACACGGAGAGACATGCACACACACACACACACACTGACGGACAGCGAGGGAGGGCGAGGGAAGTGCACGCGCACGCACCCACACACGTGTCGGCGGACGCAGGCGGGGGGCAGTGCGTGGGCGGCAGGAGAGAGAGAGAAGAAAAAAGTAAGAAAGAAAGACACACACACACACACACGTGGATGCATGTGTGCAATATTCGCCCGCAAGGACGCGAGGCGCCCCACCCCACCTCCTCCTCCTCCTCCTCCTCCTCTTCCTCCTCCTCCTCCGCTTTTTGGCCCGCGGTTCCTCTCACCCTCCACCGCAGCAATTTGTTGTTGTTTGCTTCTACTTTTTCTTTTTCCTTCTTCGTCTTCGCATCTTTTCCCCGTCGTTTCTTCTTTTTCTTTTTCTTTTTTTTTTTGGTGTTTTCCTTTCGTTTTTTTTTTTGCTCTTTTCGTACTTTCTTTTTCTTGTGGCGCGCGGTCGCCTGCCCCCGGCTCTCCCCTACCGCCGGCCCCCCGCTACAAAATGTTGACGTACTCGTGCACCCGGTGCATCATGCGCTGCACGACGCAGTCGGCGATCCACTGCAGGTTGCTCACCTCCAGCTCCCGCAGCTTCACCCAGGCGTAGAAGACGCCGTACTGGAACTGCCGCGTCATGGCGTCCTTGTACAGCACCACCGAGCGCTCCACGAAGCGCCTCTCCATCGACTGCCGCCCCGCGTCCCCGCCGCCGCCGCCGCCGCCGCCCCTGCCGTCGTCGAGCAGCTCGTGCAGGTCGGCAAAGCGCCGCAGCCGCTCCCGCAGCTGCTCCATCCCCTCCGCCTCCGCGATGTCGCCATGGACGTCGACGAGGGAGCCGATGTTCGGGAACAGCTGGCGCCGGTCCGCCGCCTGCATCTCGCGCAGCCCCATCGTGTTTACGGCGAAGGTCAGCACGGCGCGGTCCGCCTCGAAGTCGAGGAGGGGGCACATCACCGCCGCCGTCTCCCCGCCGAGGTCGCGGCAGAAGTCGTAGAACTGCTCCAGGTAGTTGCGCACCAGCACGCCGCGGATGTACTCCACCGGCAGCTCGTCGAGGTCGCGCTCGAAGTCGCCCTCGGCGCTGAAGAAGCGGCCGATCGGGCTGTCGATGAGGACCACCTGAAACATCTCCTGCACGTCGGCGGCGGCGGTGAGGGAGGCGAGCTCCGGGAACCAGCCGAGCGGGTGGCACTTCGTCAGCAGCTCGAGACTCTCCCGCCCGCTGCGCTTCGCGATGACGAGCTTCAGCACGTTTGAGATCATGTGCTCGTAGACGATGAAGTCGAGGAACTGCGAGAGCGGCGGCGCCGCCCACTCCCGCAGCTCCCGCAGCTGCCGCACGAGGTGCTCCTGCGCCCGCTGCACAATCACGCGCGAGGTGAGCTGGCCGTCCTGCTGCAGGAAGTTGCCGTAGTCCGTCACCTGCAGCTGGGACTTGAGGTCGCTGAGGGAGTCGCACTGCGCCAGGCTGCTGTACTCCTCCTGCCGCAGAAAGCCGTCCTTGTAGCCGTGCACCATCGCCTCAAGGCACCCGTCGTGCACGTTGAAGCCTAACATCCCACGACTCATCGCTCCGTCCCGCCTCCGCCTCCTGCTCCCCGTAGCGTGCCGCTGCCCCGCTGGTTTACGCCTTTTTTTATTCCTTTGACTTTTTTGCTTCTGCTTTTTGCCGCCTGCTCTCTCTCTCGCTACCTCTCCCGCGCTTCGCTCCCCTGCCGCTGCAGCCCCTACGCGGCGGAAGCCACAAAAAAAAAGAAGGAAAAAAAGGAAAAACAAAAAAAACTAGTGGGTGTGTCTCGGCGGCGGCGGCGGCGCACGTGTTGTGTGGCGTGAGCTGCCGGCCCCCCACCCCCGTTGAGCCTCCCGCGTTCTGTGCGGCCGGCAACAGCGGCAGACACGCCAGAAAAGAACGAAAGAAAAGAAAGCGAGAGGGGCAGCAACGGGTACAACGTAGAGCCGCAGGCAGGCAGGCAGGCAGGCGGCGAGGATACGGCCCGTCACTGAGGCGGGCGGAAGACAGCAAAGAATGAGAAACAAATGCACAGACAAAGAAAGACAAAAAAAAAAAAAAAGACGGAAAGGGCGGGGGCGTCGGGTGCATCGCGCGCGCGCCGCCTTGCCGCCCACCTCTCGTGCACGTGCGTGTAAAGGCCCTCCGGCCCTCCCCGCTGCGTCTGTGTGCGTGTGCGTCTCTATGCATGCATGCATATGTATATTTATAGAGAGAGGGAGAGAGGGAGATGAAGAATTGAATGATAAATAATAGTAACAAAAATGAACCACAAAGAAAAGTATTTGGCGCCGCATGTAAAATAAACAAATAAACTACGATAGTGACAGGAAGGCGAGAGCCACTGACGCCACGCATTCAGAGAGAGAGAGAAAGAAGGAAAAAAAGAACGTGAAAGAAAGAGAGGGAGCGAGGGGGGGGGAGAGTGACGGGAGGCACGCCA